CAAACATATATGCACACAGCACCGGGAGAGCTTCCTATAGTTAACCGAAATTCTGTTAAACAGAGTAAAAAAAAAGCCAAAGAAAGAGGAAGGAAGAGAGAGAGAGTGAGAGAGAGTATAACGCTATCCATTTTTAAGCGCAGAAATGCGTATATGTATTAGAATGTAGTGAGCATTTAAGCAGTGATTGAATGAGATTGAATTCGTAAAAATATAATGGAGAGTATTTGACAAATACTTTTAATAGGAAACATTGTTACCAGACAATTGTCAATTTCATTTAACGTCATTATTAAAAACAACTGCATATTTTTGTAGAATTTTGCATTGGTTTGTGATAAAAAAAAAAAAAAGAAGAAAATAAATAATAAAAAGATCGCCAAAGGAAGCAAAAATTTCATGCAAATTCAAAAATATTATTTATTTTTCATGAATGCTGTGAGAAGAGTAAGTGCTGAAATTAATGAAAACAAAAATTAATTAATCCTTATTAATCTTATTCTAATAAGAAATTTGACGAATATATATATATATATATTTTTTTTTTTTTTTTTTTTTTGATAAGAAAATTGCCCGTTAAGCCAACTACAAACTCAAAGCTTTTGCCTTTCATTTTTCATGACATTGATGCGTAGTATATAAATAAATTAGTTAAGTGCACAATATATTGCAATTTTTTTAATTTAATTGAAATGTTACGATTTGGACTCACACGAGTAAGTGAGTCTCAGACATTATTATCTGAGAGATTCGATTACTATCAAATCGAATATATACTATTAAAAATCGATAACCGGAATTTAAATCACTTGATTAAGCTGAGATGTTTGCAAGCAATGAAGCAATGAAAGCAATCTCCTAGGTTGCATCTCAGGTTTTTGATAGGAATTTCTAAAAACCTGTGTTTTCCGTTCTTTCTTTAGACGATTTGTCACGCAACTGTAAATCAGTAAATTCGCTTTTCTTTGATTAATAAAAGCAAACGCCTCCTCTCCCAAAGACTACCATGGAAATTTTGTGATAACATCTTTAAATATTATTGAACAAATATCGAAAGCGTAAAGAGATAACAAAAAGAAATGCAAAACGCAAAACGCAAAAGAAATGCATGACAGTTCTGAAGACATAAGATCATTTTACGGTTCTCGTAAACTATATCGTAATATTACGTTACACTACTCTACTGTAGCGAGTCCACAATCCAAAACTATCGAGTTGGTTCGATTCATTTCGAGCAACCAAAACCAGATAATGCCAATAGGTCAGTTTAATCTATGCCCACTTTATGGAAAGGGAGATTTTTCTTCTTTTCAAAGACAGCTTGAAAGAAGAGTATGATGATATAGCAGAAATTTTACGAGATCTCTTATTGCTTTCGGATATAATAACGCGAGTAAGTAAATTAATGCTTATGATGGCCTAGCGGCATACGATTCTTCATAAACTGAGAGACTGTTTTTCGTAAAAAATCATTTTGGGATTTATTTTTGAGTCGAATCGGAAAACGCTTTGTGCTACACAATACTATATAACAAAACGAACTCTTAGTTTTTAATTGTGCGCGACTTTTTCGAAATTTAATTATTCTTCAAACAATTATTTTTTTCGGTTTTTAATGTGTCCGATAACTCAGGGAATGTCCCCTATTTGTACGACGCGGTGACGGTCAGAAAGAAATCAGGAAAAAGGAAGAAAAACCGTGGCCGCAGCCTACTACTTTACACCAGGAAGGAGAAGTTGTACGACATACTTTTTGTTTTTCAAACATTTTTAAAGCATTGAAATATTGAAATGAAGACATAGCGCAGTGTTTATGGTCTCGACCAACACCTCCCCTGGTTCTGCTAAAAACATATGAAAATATTATAGTCGGCCACGATCAAATATTAAATAAATAAAGCATTATGGAGGAGTGGACCCGAATATTTTCCACTTTTCCTTGGATCAAAACGCGTCCGTGTACAAAATCTTATTAAATATCTTAAAAATTACGAATTGTAGGCTAAGCAAAAAAATATAGCCGGGCGGACAAGCTTAAATCAACTTGCAAGTCGATCCGTATAAAAAAAGATAGGTCTCTCTCAAGTCTTGAGTGTTGTGCACCCCAGCATAAACGTAATATACCCCATGCCAATAGTGATGTAGGGTGTAATTATAAATTCAGTAGTTCGATTAAATGAGAAAAAAAATTTCTCATTTTTTTTTCACGTGAACGCTTTCGTTGTAGACTCGACCATATGTATACGGATATATAAATAGGACGAGTTTCTCATTGTAAAACTTCCGCCCAAACATACTGCTTTACTTTACTGCCGTACTCTTTTGTTATGGAATTAAGTGCTTCTTGTCCAAAGGCAGCAGTTTACGGCTAAAGTTTGGAAAACTCGAAAATGAAGGTTTTCGTGAGCTTAGCCATTGACTGTTTATTGCTACTTGTATACACCATTAGAATTAAAAACATCATCTCTTGAGTTATTCATGGAAGACTAAAGCTTACAAGATTTGCTATAAAGCGTTGTCCATGAAGCCAATATACAGTAAAATACGAAGCGGTAGAAAATATTCCATTTTTATATCACATCCTGCCATTGGACACCATAAACGATAAATAACACAGCCAAAGGTGACGAATGACTCTCGCTTGTAAACGCTATGATAATTTTTTCGAATTAAGTGTGAAAATTTTATCGAAAATTGACAAAAAGTTCGATTAGAAAATTATGATAAGGTAGAGGCTAGCAATACAATATGCGGTACAAGTAAATAGGAACAAACCTTAATAAATAAATAATATTGTTAAATCATTTTTATTTATTTATTGTTTTTTTGTTTTCTATTTGATTACTTGAATTCTCATCCTAATGAAGGTCAGTTGCAAAAAATACCTCCTTAACCTTGTATTCGTTCGTTCGATTGAAAACCCATTCAAGAAGACGACGACAGTTGGGAAAAATTTCATTGAGTATCCGAAAACTTTATTGTAAAAAGCTAACTAGAGAACCGCTTACTATACACACGTATATAGATATATAGAAATGTATAATGTATATATATATATAATGTATATATATATATGTGTGCGTGCGGATATATATTAACTTATATATGAATATGTATAAACATGGGTATATAAATATCTATATATGTATATATATACTTATATATATATAAATAAATCAGAACACATATGCACGCATGAATGTAATACATTAACGAACGGCTATCTTTTGGCGCTCTTTCTGTGCATTTAATAAAAGTAAGAGAAAGGGAGAGAGAGAGAGTGAAAAAAAAAAGAAGAGAGTGTAGAGGATGCGCTTTGACGTGCGCGTGGCATGTGATGAGAGGTGCATGTGATTAGAACAGCGTTCGGTAGCATAAAGTAAATGAGTGCAGTGATTAGTATAATGGATTTCAGAGAGCAGCAATAGCAGCAAGCAAGCCGTTGTGTGGCAGAATTTTTGTTATAGTTTTTTTCTTTCGCTTTGATAGGCTTTACTCGCTTATCTAAATATGTGTATTTGTATGCACTGTTTATTACTGTTATTTTTATCTTTTTTTTTTTTTTTTTTTTTTTTTTTTAGTAACAACCTCGTAGTCCTTGTCGTCGTTGTCGTTGTTAATCGTAGATATTTGTTCGTAATTTTTCACAGAGAAGCGCCATTAGTTTGTGTGTAACGTTTGCCGGCGATAGGCGAAATAGTATTTTTATCGTATGCAAAAACTAAAATTGTGGAAATATAAAATAATTTTTTTTCTTTTTTTTTTTTTGCTGAAAAACCCAAAAACTAAAAATTTTATAATGAGTTGAAAAAATATCACGAACTAAAAATTATATGAGAATTAGTAGCAAATGATGGATGATGCGAAAAATTTCTTAAATTACTTGGAGTAATAAGAAGAAAAAAATAAGGAAAATAAAGGGAAAAAAAAGAAATTGTCTCCTACAACTTAGCTGTGACTGCCAAATAAGAAAATCGATAATTCAGTGCTGTATCTTACGGCAAAGGTGATCTGAGGCTGCACGGAGAGGACGAACGAGAGGACGAGTACTCTATACAAACACCAGCCAAACCAAACCAATACCGATACCAGCAATAGCAAGCAATACCAACTATAGACGACAACGACAACGACAACGATGTAGTAGTATCTCATTCGTTTCATTCGTAAGCCGCCCCGGTTTAAAGTAGTTGTTGGCTATAAAATAATAGCTCGTTTCGTAGTGTGTTTGTGTATGCGTTTGTGTACGTTTACTGGCTGACGACTTTGTTTGTTTGTTATTCTTGTCGGCTGACTGACGGACTGACAAGCAAGCACGCAAGCAAGCAAGCATTCACTCAGTCAGTCAGTCAGTCAGTCAGTCAGGCAAGCAAGCAAGCAAACAAGCAAACTGGCAGAGGCAGGACTGGCTGGATTGCTTACACTCACTTACTTGGTTGCTTTTCGGTTTTGGGTTTTGCTTATGCTTGCACTTCGCCTGCTTATTTTTTACTTCCCTGATGTAGTAGTGATGATAATGACTGTGACGGTGATGAAGTTTCCTGAGCATGAGTATGAGTTTTTGCTCCTTGATTGCATCTCCGCTAATACTCCGCCGCCGTTATTTGGTTATTTGCAAGTCTCCCTAGTGCTTGCTCTACCACGCCGCCACGCACAAACACCACTACAACAAACAACATTAACACAAACAAAAGTGTCTGGTTTCCGCACAATATATTCGCTAGTAAAATGTATATAAAGACCGAACGAATACAAGAATACACAGTGGAGAGCGACAAAAAAAAAATATCACCGAAAGTAGAAAAACTAAAGCAAAAGTAAAACAAAAAAAAAAAATAATAATAATAATAAAAAGAAACAAAAAGAAATGTAATAAGAAAGAAGAAAAAACAAAAAAAAAAAAAAAAGAAAAAAATTTAAAAAAAAATTATATCGATAATATTGAAAAAGAAAAGTTCCGTTAAAAAAAAAAAACAAGAAAAAGGTGTAAAAGAGATAGCAGAAGCGTAAGAAAAAGGAAAACTTCACTAACTTTATTGGTTTTTAGTTAATAATGATAAAGTTTGTTAAACAAAAGTATCATCAGCAAACTCAACAACAGCAACAAGAGTCTTCATATACAAAATCAGCAAAAAGTTTCTTTAAGAAAAAGGTTGAGCACTGATATTATCGTTTTTTTCTTTCTATTTTTTGTCTTTTGCGTTAAAAGAATAACATGAAAGAAAAATTGTTTAAAGAGTGAAACATTTACACACATTTATATATTTTCCTTTTTTTTCGCAAGCACGTACGTGTATGCGTGCTTGCATATTTTCTGCGTGTATATATGTATGTACGCGTGCGTGTGTGTGTGTGTGTGTGTATGTGTGTGTTATGCGTTGTGCGAGTGCATGTCGGAAAACTGATTGAAAATTCTATTTGGCTATTTTTAGGGCGAATCAAATGACTCGGGTACTGAATCTGATGGCGACATCTTAGATGTGGATAACAAACATCATCGTCATATAGACTTGGATATGGAAACTAGTAAGTTTTTCAGAACTCATTTTCATTCCAACATCTCAACGTAACATATTTGACCGGCTACTATTAATCTCGCGTTCATATGCAATTATGTGTTGTAACAAAAATTACACGATTTCGGACACCGTAGCTTTACCTTAACGTGTCTACATCTCAGCGAATAAGAAGGGCTCATGAAAATACACATTTTGTATTGAGACTTCATAAAGGCTTAAGATTCGCAGGATTCGGGAAAGAGTAGATTATAAGAATTTTAGTTCACTTTCTAAGTGAAAGTGCAAGTCAATAAAATCTATTCAGTGAAAATACGTTATATATAGACTCAGCAACACCCGCGGATAATCACAAAATCCTCGTCACATTCGAATCTATATAGATTGAAAAGGAATATTTTGACAGTTATAGATATCAAAGCACAAATTAAGTATGTGTGTGTGTGCTGCAACTTAAGCTAAAGCAAATTGGATCCTTGAAAGCCCAATATAAGCAGGAAGTTATATTCGATTGTACTCGGAGCATGTTTTGTGAAAAATTGGACATTCCTTCTTATTGTATTGCATAGCATACATACTAACAAGTTATATTCGGGTCGAGCATCTTTTGGGGCGATATTTGTGCAAGATTTACTGAGAAAGAAAAATTTGAAATTCCCTCACTCGGTATATTGATTGCATGCCGGATCTTATATACCGCATAACATATCGTGCATGGTATAGATATCGTATATGGTATCGCACATATTGCAAATCGTTACAATTTCAGATTTTGAAAATTTCCCAAAAATATCAGTTCTTAAAACAAAGCATAATCCTTGTCGTTATAAGAAAAAAAGACACCATTTTCTAAAGCCGAGTAAAAATTTATTTGATTTATATTTAATTATATAAAAAAAATTTATTTATTTATTTATATTTTAACAGAGCCTTTGTAACGACCACTTATAAAGTGTCGCTGAATTCCAATGAAGTAGTTCAGCAATCGCGTTGTTTGAAATATATTTGTTTAAATGTCAAATAAACATTTCGAGCAGCACACTTTTATTTAACATTTATCCATAGCTCGTTTATTTGTCATTTCTTATTACAACGTATTAATTATTATGTAATAATACTATTTCTTTAAGGTTGTAGTTCCTGCACCGATGCGAACTCTCCGACCGATACAGTTTGTTCTTCAGAATCTTCTGCGATGATGTGTAAATCCCACCTTCAGTACGATCAGCATAGTTCCGAAGAAGAACTAGAGGTAATAAACGGACCATCATCTGTAGCGGCCGCAGAAGCTGCTGCAGCTGCTGCGGCAGCCAGTAACGTATTAGTTGTACGCGGCACATCATCGCTTATATCGGAGCGCGGGTCATCGTCATTGGATCCTGATGAGTTGCATGGCGACGCATCAGCTTTAAAACGTTCCAGTTCAACACTGGCCGAGAATCGTAAACGTTCTTTAGCACATAGTTCTGATGATGATGTAAGTTTTCTGCCAAATTTCAACTAAATTTAAAACTAATCGAAAAAAAATCTATCTTGTAGTTACGTAATTCTTTGGAGCCGATTTTGACGCCAGTTAACTTTCGCACATCACCTCCATTGGAGGCTTTCAAACCGAACCGTAGCCACATGTATCGCTCCACAACGCCACTCATACTGCAAGAGGCACGTTGCGGCATCGAAAATATAAAGTTATGTGATAATAGTGTTAATGATGAAAATGGCGCTAATAATGGCGATTCTAGTTGTGCCATGATGGGCACTGACGACGACGATAATGTCGAAAATCAAGCCGAGTCAGGTGGCTGTGCCAGCAGCATTATCAAATTGAAGATGAGCAATTCTACTAGCAGCCATCATATTTATCAACCTCAAGCGAAACACAATTTCCATTTTAATAGTTCACGCAGTAGTCCTGCCTCTACGACGGGTCTAGATGTGGAGGTGCGCTCGGTAAGTCCACCGGCGAAACTCTTCCATTGTGCAATATCGCCCAGGCGACGACCTATGCGCACACAACACAATTCACAGCGGCTGCAAAGGCCGCATAGGCCATGTTTAGATTTTGATAAAATGCAGCAAGTTAGTTTGTAATGTAGCGCCAAATCAAATCACATCAATAGCAACAGCAAAAACAACAACAACAACAACAACTATAATTATAATAATAATAATAATAATAATAATAACAACAACAATTGTAATAAAAGAAAATGTAACAGTAATAGTAGTAATAACAACAAATGCAGCAGCAGCAGCAGCAGCAACAGCATCGACAACAGCCACAACAAAATAATAGTTAAGAAGAAGACTAACAACGCCATCACTACCACAACCACCAACACAACTACAACTATCAACAACACAAACAACACCACCAACAGCATAATCATTATCACTACCACCACAACTATAACGAAATCAACAACGGCAACAAAAGTAAGAACAACAGCAGCAGCAGCAGAAATACGAGCTACTACAACCACAAGCGAATGTGTACCTAAATCTTTTCATATGCAAACAGAAGAAGCATTAACCGCAGCTACTGCTGCGATAGTAACAACGGCAGCAGAAGCGCAAGTGGCGTTAGCCAAAGAGGTGGGTGTTTGACAAAGACCTCTTTAAATAATTTAAAAAAACATAACAAAAAAATAATACTTATATAGAAATTAACAAACAAAAAAAAAAAAAAAAACAAAAAAAAAAATACAATTATCTTACACTATCTCACACATACAAAAACACACACGCAAACTCACACACTCTTGAATACATACACATTCATGTGTAATATATTAATTAACAATTTAAGGACTTCAAAGCAAAAGCCTCGTAAAACACACGCATACACATTTCTAAACTAAATTCTCTTTCTTTTTGTGCGTGTATGCGGAAATTTCAAAGTTGTATCACAGAAATTTGATAAACAAAAAACTAAACATTATTTTTCAAGAAAAAATTTCTCCAAAAAAAAAAAACTATACTAAATTTCTCCTTTGTCTTCCTCCTTCTACAATTTTTCTACTTTCCCCTCCAACTCCCCCTGCTGAGTACCCTTTCCGTCAAACCATACTTTCCATTCTCTATTCATTTCGATGCAAACACGTTTGAGACAATAAATCAGTTAAGCATTACGATCGTTGAATTATTTAGCGCATTACTAGATCTTGTTTGTTTACCTTGTTTACCTAATAACATTATCTGCCTTCTGTTCCTAAAAGACGCATTTTACATACGAATAACAGAGAAAAAAAAAACATTTCTTCGATTTCGACTATTAATGTCCAAAGGTCGTGAAAACAAACACGTTTTTTTTTTTTTTTTAATTCCTATCCATTCCAAGAAAATAGATAGCAGCAGATGTTTTGTTTAAAGTGCTCGTTGTCATTGCTTGGTATAAAAATGCTCCAGGTTTTCACGCAAATAAAGAAGATTTTTGTCTCCTGAAACGAAAGACTCATTGCCCCATTCCTTTATATTGTTTAAAATTTTCGAAGTTCCAGTCTTCCACTGTAATCTTAATCATCGAAAACAAGGGTTAATTTTAAGGAGGAGAGACATCTTAAAAATGCTTCTTTAATTAAAGCGATGAAGTTGAAATAAATATCGCAAAGTATCCAGTAAGACTACGAGCGCCTTTAATTTAGTAATTATTACCAATCTTCTGCCCATGCTTTGGTAATGCATACGCCAGTGTCTATACATCCATATCGTAAAGGTAAACCGTGCTAGAATTACCAATGCAATCCTAATAAACCAATTCCATTGGTAAGCATTAGCTTAGTCATACGAATATTTCTCATTAGTCCCGTTGAAGGCTATTTTTTCATATATAAAAGTAACCCCTTATAAGTGTGATTGAATAAATTTTAAACTCGGGCCTAAGTTCCTTCATTGGCGATAATATCTGAACTGGCTCAAAAAGCGAAGGTCTTCCATAGCAAGTCTATATAAAGCGGCATTTTCTGTATTCATTCCGCCCAAGACATTTTTCAAAAATATCCCGTTTCTTTTCAAACCGAAATTGTGGATGATTGCTGCTCTTGAAAGTGAAGTTGTATTGAAGTTGAAGTTTGGAGTTTTAGGAGGCTTCTGCCATGTATGCTTAAGTAGGAAGACTAATGAAAATTTGTGCTGGATCGATCTAGACAATAATGAGACACCTTTAACTGCAGCAATAAATTGATTTTATTGCATAGAATTATTTGAATATCGTGCCAGTAGAACTTTTGTGCCTCCCTAAGTGAAAAACTTATCAACGCAATGAAAATCATTTTTTTAAGATTTTCGAGCAAAACAAATGATAAACGAAATGGAAAAGAAAACTTCCCAGCCAACTGCTTTCAAAATACCTTTTTATGGGCCGAAGCTCGTAGCCCGCTATGGTTTCATTATGAAAATAGCTGGAGTCTGTTTGTAGGTCGTTTCATTTCAGTTAAGCAAGAGGCGATTGATTCGCCGAATATAAACATGAACTGCTCGTACTGAAACTAAAATAAGGCAATTCTTTTGGCATATTCCGGTAATTATTTTAACAAATCACGATATACTGCTGTCGCTCCTTCTCCAATCATTCATTTAATAAACACATTTGATCCACTGGGGAGATTGATTGGGTGTCATATACTAACTTTCTCGCTTCGTTCACCCTCTAGCTCTCTTTTGCTTAACTTCATTACAAAGTTTTCTCTGGATTCTTCGCCCGCTATGTAGTTTTCATTTTCTATGAAGCTTTGACTTACTGCGTAGTTCCCTATAGCTATCTTGTAGCACTGCTATTAAGCTTTGGCTCGCTATTATTCTCCCAATCGCTATAAAGATTTTATCCTTTAGGGAATTTGCATACTGTCTTTCTCGATACGATTTGTTGTGGCATTTTGCAAGTTCCCACTGCTTTCCCTAATCTGACGTAATAAGCGTCCCCTGTCCCTGATTTTCACATTCGATTCTTTTCTATGTCATCGCTTTAGCCCACTTGCATAGATGTAATTGGAAAGAGACACTACCTGAATAATCTTTCTTAACTAACGGATGGAGCGCTCAACAAGGGTGTCGCATTCCCCAGCAATGTTTTCTTTATGCCTTAGAATGCCAGCAACTTCATTCTCATTGTCTGGATTATATTTAATGTTATTTGTTTTTTATTTTTTCCTTTTTTAAAATCCACGTGTAATAGTTTCCAAGGAAATGTACTCTTCGCTCAGCAAAACAGGTTTGTCCAGATTCTAAAAAGATACAAGAAAAACAAGCCCGTAAAACTTAAAAGAAAAGGCTCAAAACGTTAAACTTCCCAAAGAAAACGTCAAAGGGCATCTGACAACACTTAGTGTTGCCAAAGCTTAGAACACGAATTTTTAAATAGGATAGATTGAAAACGCGTAGTTTGGAACTTTCCACAAGAAAACGGGCGACTGCTAAAAACGCATACATTTACAGCGGCGAAGCAGATCTGGTTCGAAATGATTAAACTCTAATAGAAAGTAGAAGGTCCAGCTCAAGATGTTTCAATTTCTGAGTCTTTATCAGACGATTCATGACAAAAACCTATTGTTTTTGTCTATGCCTTTGGCACGCCCTGTCGAATACAGGCTTCAATACAACAAGACAGATTTTCTCTTCATACATTTGTTTGCCAAGCTTTAACGATTCCTTCATAGTATTTTAAAATTTTTTCCGCCTGGAATTTTTTTTGTTTTGAATAACTCGGCTTCTTAGCTTAGAAAGAAGGCGATCTTGGTTTTGCACGCTCTAATATCGCAAATGCCCCCAAGCTTGTTCGCGCTCGAGGAATGCTAAGTTGAAAAGTCAGGTAGTAACGGTTCAATTGCTGGACCATTTCTTCTTTAACCCCCAACTGCCGAATGTGTATAAAATATTTTGGAAATATTTCTTACTTAGACTTATGGTCTTTTAATTCGACTTTGGTGATTTATACGAAAATATTTTTAAGATTTGCTCGCTCTTCGGGGCGCTTGTTTGCCATCGGTTTTCTTTCTTTCTTTTTCCCCTGATTATAAGTCGTGTTCGTTCTCTTCGAAAGATACATTATATAATATAACCTGATACTGCCGAGATCAGCAAATTATTACATTTATTAAAAGCTTATCAGATTCAAATCTCAAATATGAGAAAAATTATTAACAAATTCACTGCCGTGCAAAAAAAAAAAATGAATAAATAAATAATTGAACAAAAATAAACACATGTGTGTGTATAAATGCTTACAAATAATTCAATATATGAAGATGGTAGTAATTTTGCGATTTGTTTGACATTGTCTTTTTCTTAAATTTAAAACAAGAGCTTAACTGATTTTACTGTTTCATTATTAAGCGTTATTGCTTTTTCTTGAAAATTAAAAAAAAAAAAAACACGAGAAAATAGAAATACTGATATAAGTAAACTAACTAAAACATTTATTTTTGATCTCACTTTAAATTTAAGAGATATGTTTTTCTTTTTTCTTTTTTCTTTTTTTTTTTTAATAAACTTCTGTTGATAAAAATTTATAAAAATCTTTTTGAAATTTTTGCAGTGTTTTTTATATCCAAAACGTAGCTGGTGCACATAAGGTTTGTTAAACATAAAGCTTGCAAAGGGTACGATTCAATAAGGATGTCTATCTGTCCGTCAATCAATGTTATAATTACGGGTTCAAAAATTTTATTTGAATTCGATTTGAAGAGATCAGATACTTATACTTCAACTCCCGCAAAATGGAAAGAAGAGAATATACGAATATAGGAGGAAAGGTGACGAAGAAATTTTAAATTCATTCCGGATCGACGTACGTCTACAATATTTTTTTCAGTTACGATTTTAAATTTTATTTATTAGGCTTTCCAAATTGATTTTTACAATTTTTTCTTATTCAAGTCAAGTCCGAAATTCAAGATTAGTTTCTAATTAAAAAAAAAAGAAAAAAGAAAAGAAAATGCAAATATGTTCCTTAGTTTACGAATTTATGTATGACGTGCTGTCAAATACTTGCAAAATATACAAAAAAATGATTCGAAATCGAGAAAAAAGTGGATCCTAATTAGCAGCTAGCTATGGGTATTGAAAAGTTCGGCTTAAACCGAATACGATTTATTACACTCACCCTTACATACACATCCACACATATACAAAGCAAACGAATTATAACAAGAACAAAAAGAATATCAAAATTTTTTAAATAATATTAAAAATAAA